TCAGGTTTCATGGTTCAATACTTTAATCATTCCCTTCTACACACCTTTGTTTATCTGGCCCCTCATCAGTGTGTTATCTATTATATGTTATAAGCCTTCCTGGCAAAACTTCCATCCTGGTTAGATCCCACTCTCTGCTTAGATGAAGACTGTGGCCCAGCAGCTGAGTACAGCGTAAGGAAAACAAGACCCATTCAGGAATGCTGGAGCATCTCACTCTTAACATTTCTGTGGTCATTCACTCTCCCCTTCTCTGAGTAGACTGCTTTAAACCCTCTTCTTAGTCTTCATACTTCCATTCCCCTCTCCATTCTCAATGATCTGCCTTTTGTTTTAGGTCCAAAAAAGAAGCAATCAGAAAATACCTCTTGATCCTCCCTCACTGAGTCTACCAACTACTCTGCTTCTGTGCCCACATACTCTGACGTCTTGTCTGTGAAGATGGATGAATCATTCCTGCATCTAACATGGCAACTCCTTCCTTACGCTCTGGACCACCTACTCAAGGAAATGGCACCTGCAGTTGTCCTCTCTCCTGCATCGGCGCCCTTCCCCCCTCTCTGCAGGATTATTCCTGTCAACATTACCCACGTACCCTAATACTTCATTACAATAGGCTTTTCTGTGCTGGGTTATAAAACCTGAAATCTTAGTGTTCACAGGAGTGATTTATTTCTTGCTTATACAGCATCAAGTGGGTGCTGAGTGAGTCTTCAGGGCAGCTCTTCCCCATGAGAGTGACAATGTGATTTGGGTTCCTCCCACTTGTGAGGTCACCATCTTAACACATGGCTCCCAGTATCCCCTGTGGCCGGGCAAAAGAGAGGGGAGGGTAGCAAACCCATTGAACAATATTAATTTTTTTCTAGGCAAAGCTGTATTAGAAATAAACATTTTAAAATCCAAGATATTTTAAAATTGACTCTTTGCTATCCACTATGTGGGATTTCACCTACCACTGATAAATAAAATAGGGTGATGATCTTCTTTGCATCCCATGAACTATTAATGAAGCTTTCTCTTTCAGTGTGTGTGTGTGTGTGTGTGTGTGTGTGTGTGTATGTGTTCTTCATAAAATTCATAGCAGAAAACTTATTTTGGGAGTGGAAAGGTGGTTTCATCAATAAATATGCAACTGAGATTGTTCATCTGGGTTAAGTTTTTTCTTTCTAATTCTACAGAATCTGGCATAAAAATAATCTGAATTCATATAGGAAATGAAACTGCTTTTAGTAAGGGCAATGAATTTATTTATGCACATGCACACCTGCTTGGGGTTTTCAATAGGCATTCATGTCACCCCAAAATAATTTTTGGTTTTAAGAATTCAGCTACAGCCCTGGATGAATGGCTCATTGGTTGGAGCATCATCCATACACCAAAAGGTTGTGGGTTCAATTCTCAGTCAGGGCACATACCTAGGGTTTGATCTCAAGTCCAGGCGTGTATGGGAGACAACCAATGAGTGTTTCTCTCACATCAATGTTTCTCTCTTCCTCCCTCTTTCTCTAAAATCAATAAAACATATCGTTGGGTGAGGTTTAAAAAAAAAGAATTCAACTGCATATTTACAAATTTCTCCTTCAAAAGTAACTGAACTAACAAAGAAGAATCCTATATAATAAAAGGCTAATATGCAAATAGACCGAACGGCTGAACAACCAGAACAACCGAATAACTGGTTGCTGTGATGTGCGCTGACCACCAGGGGGAGTGTTGAACATGGTGGGCATTGGCTGAAGCGGGATGGTGGAGCAGGTGAGCGGGGGTGCCAGCCCAAGGCGGGGCACTGGTCGCTGTCATTGGGGTGAGCCTCTGGTGGTTACTGAAATTTCTTTGCTCCTGCACACCATGATCCTGCTGGCACTTGCACCTGCTGCAGGCACTGGCCCGCTCCCACCCACAGCTGATCCTGATCACTCAGCAGCATCAGCTGGTGTGAGCAGCGGCTGCCAGCCCTGATCACCCCTGAGAGCTTTTCAACCTCCCCCTACTCCTGAGGGGCGATTGGTAGCAGCCACTGCTTGCAGCCGCTGACAGCACCGGCCCCACTCGCACCCACTGCTGGCGCAGCCCCAATCACTCTGCGCTGTCAGCGGGTGCAAACAGGGCCAGCACTGTCAGCACATGGGAGCGGCAGCAGTGGGAGCGGGGCTGCCAGCAGACAGGAGACCAGGGCCATGGCAGGAGGAACCAGGCAGGGGCACAGTGGATGGGCCAAGACCCACCCCTGTGCCAATGCAGGCTCCACGGCCCACAGTTCCTTTCAACGTGCACGGATTCGTGCACTGGGCCCCTAGTATAATATATAGTTGCCTTAGTTACTTAAAACTCTCCAAAATTTAGTGGCTTAAGACACCACAGTTTATTTAGTTCATGATTCTGTGAATAACTGGTCTGGTCTCACTGGGCTTAGTCGTGTGTCTGCAGTCCGCCCCTGTCACCTAGGCTGCAGACTGGCTGACAGTGGAGATGACTGAGCCAAGTATCTCTCATTTTCTGGCAGGATAACCCAGACTTGTTCACACAGCCAGTGGCAGTATCCCAAGAAAGAGAGTGGAAGAGTGCAAGGCCCTTGAACCCAAGGCCTGGGACATACTGGTACATTCTCAGTTCTGCCACATTCTATTGGCCAGACAAGCACAATGTTGGCCCACATTCAAGGAGTGAGGAAATATAGTCTAACTTTTCATGCAAGAGCTGCAAAGTCAAACTGCAAAGTCAAATGCAAAAGAAAGATAAACTACTTATGAGCACCTAGCAATCTACCACATAGGACAAACATCTGAGAAATGAACCCTGAGATATTTGACGTTTGTTTCTTCACCTAGTACTAGCCAGTGAAGAAAGCAAAAGTAAGAAGTGTGTTCTGGAAAACAGGTCTCCCTAAATACTTTTTCTTTGCTTGCCCATCTCTGCTATCACTATTAAATATAGAGCTTGAGAAAATAGTCATTTTTTAAAAACTGAAAGCTTCAATTTCTAAGCTCATTTATTTTCCAGTGGAAATAGTTTTTCTGAAAGAGGAAGTGCGTTGATTGCATTGAGAAAGACCAGCATCTTGTCCCCATGGTAACAGCATCTTAAATTCTCCAAGTGTTCACCACCTGGTGTTTTGCGGCCCAGTAGCCATATAGTACTATGTTATATAATGGGAGAGAAAGATTCTACATGCACCACATGTACCATAGGTACACTTTGGTATCAGGTCAGAATGATGGTTTATGAAATAATAAGCATGTGGTCCAATTGCCAATAACAGCAACAACAACAATAATATAATATTTTTTTTTCTTATAGGAGATACTTGGATAATTCTGCTATATTGGAAAAATATTTCTTTCCACAACTTAGGGGTAGACTATACTTTAATGCTTTCAAGTATATCCTAGGATCGGGTGTATGTGCAAATACCCAGCAATACATATACACATGCACACACACAATTCTTGAACTCTGAATTTAAACAAAAGTGATAGCAGCTGTAATAGGGCTGTTTTTAGTTATTGGAATATTTGAAATGATTACTATTGACTTACTTTGGCCTTTTAAATAAGATGTTTAAGACATAGGATGTCTAAGTCACAAGATATTTGTGTGGGTGGTTACCTTTTCATGGGGATTATTCTCTCTCCCAAATGCTTGTCTCTGTGGGTGTTGCTGACGCTTTAAAAACTAGAATTTTGATTCAAATCAAGCTACCTCTCCATGCAGTGATTTGGGGCATGCAAATGACAGACATTATACCTGTCTGAATCTGTGACTCCTGTTAAGCTGCAGAGGAACCATGAAAGAACAAATCTTTGCTCACTGTGGTAGCTGAATGGCTGCCATTGCTGCTGAAACTGTAAATCAATTTCCCATTGTAAAAACCATAGTAATAGAATTCAGGAAAGGTGTGGGGGATGTTTATCAATGAGTCACGAAGCAGGATTAGAGTATTCTTCAGGTTAGAAACAGGAAACTCCTGGGTTGCTTGGAAAGGCAGACATGAGTTTTGAACTAAGAGACAGGTTTTCCTGGCCCAGGGATCTGGCACAAAGAGAAAGTTTCCCGGAATGATGTCATCTACCTGGAGGGGATACAGAAAGTATGGGCTCTAGATCCTGGCACTGACCGCAAACAGTAGGCTACGACTTGTCCCTCACTGCGGGATGATGAAAGAAGTCAGAGTAGGCAGCATGCTTTGAAAACTGTAAGCAATGTACAGAGCCCTCCCGTCTTCCCTGGGGGCTTGCAGAGAGAAGAGTGAGGTAAAAGAGGGTAGGCAGAGGGTTAAAAAATAAAACACTGTTATGTGCACCTCCATTTCCCAAGCTGCAGGAAAGCTGGCTCCCCTAGGGCTTGGAGACCTTGGACCTGAACAAGGGAATATTGAATGGAAGAAAGAAACAGGGATCTATGTGCCTTCACAGTGTGCCTCCCAGGTCACTTGGCAATGGGATGGTGATCCGAGGCAAAGGAGTTTCTGCTCAGTAAAGATTTTCTTTGCTGGTATTTGGATTCCTTGGAATCCCTGGGATCTCATTTCTAATCCAGCCTATGCAGTCTTATATGAGTTTCTAGCTTCCATATGTCATTTATTCCTCATGACTATTCTACGATGAATATATTTCTGGGTCACGCATCCATATCTAAAATTCCAAAATCCAGAAAGCTCTAAATTGAAAAGTTATTTTAAACTGCCATAAAATTAGTAAGAATTTTATACTCGTTCAGTGTATTATTGGAACATTTTTCTGAAGGAATATCAATATGTTTGCTTACTAAGTGCTGTCCGCAACAGCAGGGGTGTTACATAAAATTCAGTTTAGGTACTATATTACTCTATATAATAAAATAATTCTAAAATACACTTCCAAGGATAGTATGTAAGAGATCGTGGACACATATTATTTCCACATTGAAGGTTGAAGCTGAGTTTCAATGAGGTTAAGTGCCCAGCTTCAGATCACATAACCAGGAAATGATGGATTTCAGCTTATGTATGTCAGACTATGGTGGTTTCTTTTACAGTCACTTTCAATGAATTTTTGTTTGGGGTCAGGGAATTATTTTCATGCACTACTTTCAAAAGAAAAATGAAAAAATGTCTTTGAGAGCTGCAGCCACAGGTTGGCACTTGTTGCCAATCTAGCACTCACTCTGTAGAAGACAAGGAGAAACCCCCCATTGTTCTTTTAGTTTGCAGAGCCCGCTCATTCTGCACACCTTCTTTTTAACATTAGTCCCCGGCTGACATACTGGCTTCCTGTCCTCTCAATCTTAATTTCTTCTTAGCAACACAAACAAAACATAGAGAGGATAAAGCAAGTTCCAAACACAATCCCAGGGCCCTCAGTAGGTGAAAGTCTGAACCTCATAGCAATTGCCACTCTTTCCAGACCTTCTTTCTTCATCTCAGTTTGTTTCTATGTTCTTTTGTGTTTCCTTTCACACACTGGGAAAGAATGTTGTCTGATGCCATCTCCACTTTTGCAGCACTTGCTTTTTAAAGGCCTGCCTTTTATTTTTTCCCAATCACATGCCTACTCTTTGTAGATCAGGTGATTTTGTTGACTTAGTAGTGCATAGTCAGGATTGCATGTATAATTACAGCTGTATTTATTTCAGAAATGGAACAGTATGTAAGGCAGAACTCATCTATCATAGCTCAGGCTGCTGAAACAAAATACCTGACTGAGTAGTTTAAACAACAGACACAGTCTGGCGGCTGGGAAGACCAAGATCAAGGTGCTGGCAGATTTGGTTCTTGGTGAGGGTCACCTTCCTGGCTTGCATTATTCCCATGGCTGCTTTCTCACTGTGCTCATGTGGTGCAGAGAGAAAGAGAGAGCTGTGGTCTCTCCCTCTTAGTATAAGGACACTAATCCTATCATGGGGGCCCCACCCTCATGATCTCACCAAACCTAATTACCTCCAATGGCCCCACATCCAAATACCATTATGGTTGGGCTTAGGGCTTCACCATGGGGGATACAATTCAGTTCATAACATCATCAATTTAATATAATCACATTCTTTTAATATTTAAAAGTGCTATATAGATATACACCTAACACTGGATTAGAAATAAAAAAAGTTAGGTTTTGCTTCCTCCTTTGCTACTAGAAACACACACACACACACACACACACACACACACACACACACACACACACACAACTTAATCTTTGGATTTTTGTTTTATAATATATTAAAGAATGAGGTAGAACTGAATGATCTCTATATAACATCCCAGTTTAAGTAATTTTGTCAAGAGAACAGTGTACCTGTTATATGTGTAACAGAACAACACAGAGGTAATAATAGCTCTAAAGCACTTTTTTGTACTTCACTTTTTCTTACTAATTAGTGATTTAGCCATCTTTTCTGGGTTGCGACAAGTAAACATTCTCCTAGTTCCACAGATTTTGGAGCCATTTTTTTAAACTTCTGTTCATTGGATATTTTTATCCTAGACAATATTGTCTTTTTATCTCTTTTGCATTTTTAATGCTCTAATTTTCTAATTTTTCCAGGATCTTTGACTTTTTTCTTTTGGGGGAGAAATTGATAGAGATTATACCATGGTTATAAGCAGTTAGAAACAAGTATGATGAAAATCCTATTCTTTTTTAGAATATAATTTCTGTGGAATCTGTAGTTTTAAAAGTAGACATTGACATGGTCCCCCTTTTAAAACTAAAATATGTTTTTAAAAATTTTTTCAGAGTGGGAAAAAAATCAAGCAGATATTAATCCCCCCCCAACACCATTTTCACATAGCCCTGAATATGTCATTTCAAAATGTATACAGAAATAAAACTGTCCTCTATTTAGGTTGGGTGTGACTTTGTCCTTCCTGTCACACTAGCCTACAGTCCTTTGTGTTAACTTGGCCCACTTTCAAAGGTGCGATTGTGTGACATCCAGGAGACTGTCAGCTCTCCTCCCCACAGATGCTCTGGGCCAGCATTAGGCCCCCAGACTCCTCTGACAAGGCCACGTCCCAGCGTCGATAGCTCTGAAGAGACTGCTGATCCCAGTTCAGATGACAAGATGTGCTGAGCCTCTGGGACAGCCGTGGCAGGATGTTACTAATAAAAGATAGTAGCCCTGCTGCCGAGGAAGGAAACAGATGTGAGGGCGAGATCCAGGTGACAACCTGGGCATCACAGAGAAACAGGATGTGATGGGGGAGGGAGGGAAGTAAGTTGGCATTTGGCAGTATGTGCAGAGGCAAGACCTGAGAGTGGGCAGTGGGGGCTGTGCCTTTCAAAGATTTCTGACCTTCTGCCTGCCAACGTGGAATTAGATTTCTTGATGGAGGGGAGAGAGGGAGGGAAGGAGTGGTAAAGGCAGATGCCAAGAGTGATTATTGACCTGGCGTCCAGACAAAAGGATGCTGTGGCTGGCTCCTGAGGGAGAGAGGGACAGAGTGGTGCAGGTTGGAAGTCTAACTGCAAAGGCTGCGTGCCAGAGTTTCAGCTGCCAGAGAGTGCCCCGGGGTGCTGGCCTCTTCTGTCCACAGCAGCAAGTAGTCTGAAATGAAAGAAGAAAAATGACATTTAGTATCTTTGACTAGATTTTAAGGTTGGCATTCAGAAGTATATTGAGCTGCCTTTCTCTTATCTGAGAAGCATAAACCCTTGTAACTACTACTACTTAAAAAAAACAACAACAATATTGCCATATTTCCAAGACCAAGATGGTACAGTTTGACTCCTGGCTTCCCCATCCCCAGCAGTGAACGCTAAGTGAGTTTACCACATCCCAAATGTTGACCCAGAGCAATACCACCTGCTGGGAGACAGGACTCACTCATTCTGTTAGAACACAGTTTGTTGCCACATCAATCAGGAAACGTTAAATGTGGCAGCATCCTTCCAGAGTTTTGCTCTCAGCGTTCACACCCGAGCATTTCTCCAGCTTCACTGTCCAATATCACCGTGTGCCACTAGATGTTGCTGTTACTCCTGCTTTGTGTGAGGCGCTGGGAGCAATCAGCCCGCCCTGTGCATGCAGGGGGAGCAGTTTTCAGAGGGGGAGGATGCTGCTGTCGGTGCAGATTTAAGTGTAAAGGCCTCTTTACCTGGCATTTTCATTGAAAAACAGACACTCCGTATGTTGTTATTTGGTTGCTATTTCCTTTTTTCATTTTTTAAAGGGAAAGACTGAATTAAAAGCACTTCTCCCACCAATGCACCTTCCCCTTTATCCTTACTAAATCTTACTTCTCCTTTCTAATGTATTTTTTCAGCTCAATAATATAAAGATTGTTTATTAGCAAATTAGGAAAATCACTCTACTATGGCTATTCAGAATCTATATGTGGACTGCAAATGTTTCTCTTCTAATTTATTCCAAATCTTAGAGACTTCAAAGGGAATATCTAATTTCCTTAGAAAAAAGTGATGTAATCCTAACCTCACTGAAGAAAAGACCCCATGAGGGCACAGCAAGTCAAAGTTAAGGCTTCATTTTTTGTGACTACACACGGATACATCCTTGAACCCAAGGGACAGAAGTTGTTATGAGTTTCAGGTTGTTGAATGGTGGTGTTAGACACACAAGTTGTTTTCCTGTTAAATTTCCTTTTATTGTATTAAGTATTGAATGCAAGTATGTTGTTTAAGTTGTGGTTATTTGATTATTATATACCTGATCATTATTTGATCATGAAATTAAGTAGGATATCTAATGCCAATGCACTTATAAAATTGCCTTTTAAAAAACAGATTATGAATAGTATGTTCAGTGAACACTAAGTGAGTTTTCCACGTCCCAAATGTTGACCCAGAGCAATATCATCTGCTGGGAGACAGGACTCACTGATTCTGTTAGAACACAGTTTTGTTGCCACATCAACCAGGAAACGTTAAATGCAGCAGTTTCCTTCCAGAGTTTTGCTCTCAGCTTTTGCCAAGCAAACATCATTTCATTATAGCAAATGACAGCCAGTAATAAGGAGATAACATTAAAATAACAAAAGAGAAAAACCTCACAAAATATACCTTTAAAAGCAAATGAAGGCTATACTTGATTTGGTGGTATGAAAGTGAATTAAATTGTTCTTTTTCAAACTTCATCTCTCACCATTTAATATTGTGTCTTTAATTGTTGACTGCCCCAAATGGTAACTAAACAAATTGACCACTGAACTGGGATTCCACCAATGTGTTTTCTCTTTAGCTGTGATGCCACAGGATTTATAGATTACTCTGCACTGCAATTTTATTCCCTGGAGCTGACTCTCATCTATGGACCAAGTGCCAACCCCGATTCAGGTTGAAAAAATAGTTCCTGAGTTGAAGTTGCAATGGACATATTTGATGTCACTTTAAGAATAATTGAGGTCTTAGTCTCTCCTCTCCTGTTCCTGCTCCATCTGCTCCTCCTGCTCCTGCCCCTCCTGCTCCTCCTCTTCTTCCATTCTACTGACTTCTCCCTCCCCACCCCACTTCTTTCACTTCTATTTTTCCTTCTCTTTCTTTCCCCTCCTGCCTCTATTTGTTTTCCATATGTGTGATGCTGCTATTTTTTGTAGAATTGTATTAGAGAAAGAATCATGATCACATCCATATTAGTCTCCTACGGCTTCTGTAACAAACTGCTGCAACAACCTGGTGGTTAAAACAACATGCACTTGTTCTCCCACAGTCCTGGAGGTCAGAAGTCTGAAACCAGTTTCCTAGGCTGAAATGAAGGTTCTTAATTCAAAGGCTGTGCACCCTCCAGAAGCCCTAGGAGAATGTTTCCATGCCATTTCCCTGGTTTTAGAGCTGTGTTCCTTGCATTCTTTGGTGTAAGGGCCTTCTTCAAAGCCAGCAGTGTGGCATCTTCAAATCTCTCTGTGCTAAATCTCTCTTTGCTTCTCTCTTGGCACAATTCTGACCGCAGTCAGGGCTCATCAGATAACCCACATTAACATCCCTACCTGAAGACTCTCACATCCGCAAAGTCCCTTTTTCCATGTAGGGTAACATTATAGGTTCCAGGGATTACGACTTTTATACACTACTTGGGGGCTGTTATTCAGTCAACCACATTCTACTAGCTGTGTCTTTGACAATTTATTTATCACATTTCTTGCCTAAGAGTGTTACTGTGAGGATTTAATAAGGGAAATTCTTGCAAAGTACTTAGCAGAATGCCTGGAAAAGAGTAAATCCATTTTAAGTTAAAATAATTTAAGTACTAATAAATACTGTTTTTACTATTAAACATAATTATCTTAAAGATCATTCAGTTCTTCACCTTTATGGAACCTCAATCTAGCTTCTGTCCTCTACTAAACATTTACTACTCTATTAAAACATTTATTTCAAGGTCTCCCACTAGACTTCTCCAGCTGGTAAGGTTCAAAGACCAATTCTTGGGCTTCATGTAAGTAACATTTAATACAGTTGACCACTCACTTTACTTAGAAATACTCTCTTTACTTGGCTTCTGCCATATCAAAATTTTTGGTTTTCTTCTTTCTTGACTGGATATTTCTCTCTGTTTCTTTTGCCATCTCCTTCTTCAACCCACCACCAAATATTGGCATTTCAAAGAATTCTTTTGTCATGAGTGCTTTTTGTCTTCTTTACACTGAGGTGAGGAGTAGAATGGCATGCTGGATGAGCTTAAAGATAGGTAGGGGATGGAAGTGGCATGGGATGCAGCTGGAGTGGTGGTGTGGGTCAAATTTTGCAGTGATTAAAGATCCTTCTGATAAGGATTTTGGCATTAATTTTAATGGGATGCCATGGGAGGCTTTGAAATTGGTATGTTGGGTGGGTGTTATCAGTGAATGCCAGAGTTCTTTCCTCTCTATGAGATCTACAACTGAGGTCCTCCTTCCTGAAACCTGCTGAACCATTGAGCCAGCATACTGCCTGGTAGTTCTGGATTGAATAAAGAAGCAGGAGAGAGCCTGGTCAGTGTTGTTCAGTGGTTAAGCATTGACCCATGAACCCAGAGGTCACAGTTTGATTCCCTGTCAGGGCATATGCCTGGGTTGCAGGCTCAATCCCCAATAGGGGGCACGTAGGAAGTAGCCAATTAACAATTCTCTCTCATCATTGATGTTTCTATCTCTTTCCCCTCTCCCTTCCTCTCTGAAATCAATAAAAACATATATTTTTAAAAGCAGGAGAGAGATAACAGATGTTAGTGGAGTGACAGAAGTTCAGTCCTATTTCCTACATTTAATAAGGACATATGAGTTTCCTATGTGTTGGAAAACACCACTATTTGTGGCTATAACTTAGGCTGTGTTGCAAGTACCATTACCGTTCTGGATGAGGAAACCTCAGGTATGGCTGATGTTAAGGTGGGAAGTATTAGACTTGGCTTTAGCCTGGTCTCCCAGCCAAGGGACCATGTGGAGGGAGACCCAAAGTACCCTCCTAAGATCCTACAAGGAGCCAACACTTGATATCTCTTTCAAAGGTGGAATTGAAAAGCAACCAGTGTCCAACAGGAAAATAGCAACAACTAAAAGAAAGAGAATGGTGGATTTGCCACCAGGCATTGTGGTCACTCAAGTGATCAGGTGTCTCCCCACCTCCTCTCACTGATACTAAAATCTAGATGTGCTGCCTCTGGAGACCACACCCCTTTCTCCACACCCCTAACACTTCCAGGCAGTAGTGTGTCCTGCTTTTGTGGAAAAGGGTGAAGTGTAAGATATGAGATAATCTTAACCAAAACTGAAGAAATGTTATAAGGGTGGGCTGAGAGATCTTTAGGAGCTTGTACTTAGGTGAAATGGAGATCAAGGGGGACATTTGATAGGTATTGTTTGAGGAAACTGTAAAATGACTCCAGATACATACTTTCATGACTCCTTAATCAAACCAAGTAAAGATTTATCATTTAATTTTATCAATATTTTGATATGCATAACAAAAATTTGAGTTAAATGTTTCTATTCTCACACTGTGGATGGTAAGAGGAGGTTTCATGAGGTTAAGTGACTTTCTATAGGGCACAGAGCTAGCATGATGCAGATTAAGGTTGGAACCCTCACCTCCCCAACTTTGAAGCTTGTGCCCTTTCTACCCCACTGTACTGCTCTAATACCACACCTTTAAAGTCATGTTGTGGCAGTGGCCAGTTTATAAAGTTAAAAATAAATAACTGTTCCTGATATTGCAATGTGACATGAATCAAACCACCTAAGATTGCAGAGGGTAGAATGATGCAAATAATTGACTAACTCTGGCATAATGACAATTTCAATTCTGAAGTTAAATTCTGCTAAGACTACAGGCAGAACTATGATATGGTACTTCCTCATGTGTTCTCTGTCAGATAAACCTGGGTTACCTATTTTTGTGTTGTCTATTACACATGCACTGTGTCTCCCTTTCCCATCCCCAAACCTCCCCTCCTTTCCTTTAGAACCATGGTCGGCAAACTGCGGCTTGCGAGCCACATGCAGCTCTTTGACCCCTTGAGTGTGGCTCTTTGACAAAATACCACAAAATACCATGTGCTGGCGCACACATACAGTGCGATTGAAACTTCGTGGCCCATGCGCAGAAGTCGGTATTTTGTGGAAGAGCCACACTCAAGGGGCCAAAGAACCGCATGTGGCTCGCGAGCCACAGTTTGCCAATCTGCAGTTTGCCAACCACTGCTTTAGAATATCAACTCAATGACCTCATTCACTTTCTTTTCTGATATCTTATCAGCAACCTAGAACCAGTGCTTGGCACATAATAGGCCCTCCATAATTTTTCTTTTAAATGAATGAATCAGAAAGTGATTTTTAAGCTTCCACATAAATTCTACCTTAAAGAGTTAGAGGCAAAGAAGGAGAAGAAAAAGAGGATGTTATGGACTGAATGTTTGTGTTCCCTCAAATTCAGATGTTGAACTCCATCCCCTTGTTATTTGATGGTATTAGGAGTTGGAGCCTTTGGGAGGTAATTAGGACTAGATGAGGTCATGAGGGTAGAACCCTAATGAATGGGACTAGTGCCCTTTCAAAAGCCATGAGAACACCAGCTTTCTCTCTTTATTTCACCATGTACAGATATAATGAGGAGTCAGCTGTCTCCTCACCAGAACTCAACTACACTGGCATCTGAATATTGGAATTCCAGTCTCCATAACTAAGAGAAATAAATGTCTGTTGTTTATAAGCTATCTATGGTAGTTTATTTGTTTGTTTGTTTATTTATTTATTTATTCTCATCTGAGGACATGTTTATTGATTTTACAGAGAGAGGAAGAGAGGGAGGGAAGGAGGGAGAAAGACAGACAGAGAGAGAGAGAGAGAGAGAGAGAGAGAGAGAGAGAGAAAGAAACATGATCAGTTGCCTTCTGAATGTGCCCTCACCAGGGACAAACCCACAATCTATGTACCCTGATGGGGAATTGAACCCACCACCTTTTTGGTGTATCAGATGACACTCCAACCTACGGAGCCACTCAGCCAGGTCTATGGTAGTTCATTATAGCAGTTTGAACAGACTAAAACAGAGGAGGAAGAGGAGAAAATAAGTATAGATCTCATCTGGTTATTCAAAAGTCAACAGACCCGGTTACACAAGCATGCCACTGCTGGCCAAGGTAGCCTTCATACTGGCTTTAGTGACTTCCATTCAAACTTTGTGATATGAGAGTTACCATAAAAACCTGGCTACAGCAAAATTCTTTTCCAAATGGCCTAGTCAGGTGCTGATCTGCTTCCCACCTGGCCTAGAATTTCAAAGACATATGTCACTTATTTGTGTAGGTGGTGCCCTAGCTTGTGTCAAAATGAGACTTAAAAAGATGAGTATAAATGGTAAATCGGTGTGTTTGCCAGAAGTGTCTCTCCAGGGGGACCAAGAGTCTTCTTTGGGAGAACATTTATTCTCAAGGGAATTTAATTTTGATCTATTAATGAAGACATTGTTTGAGTGGAGGAACCTATGATCTGTTTCTTTTTTACCTCATGTCAACCTTGTGATATAGGTCTTTAATTTTAGAAGTGGCCAAACAGGTACAAAGATTAGTCTTTTGGGGTCACACAGTGTAGCCAAACTGCTGCTTATGACCTGATTCTAAAATACTCACATAGCACCCAGTATTAGGGGTCATGATTCAGAGAGTTAATGATTTCTGAAATAATTATTTCTGAGATAATTCTTTAATTACACGCATACAGAAGAAGTGTTTATAAGTTTATAAGTAAACAACTTAAAAATTCATACAGAAAAATAAGATTTTTCCCTAAAAATGAGAGAATTAGAAACTATGCTAACCTGCTACATGTGATTTAAAATGAAAAATAAATTATAATGCATGTTTAAGTATAATAATGGTACTAAATTTTGATAATTAAATTATCCTCAAAGCTGTTGAATGATTACTATAAACTCTTCTGTTTATGCTTCTGGCTGAGAACTAAAGAAGGGACTGAGGCTTAAAATGACTAGAAATTCTTCACATGGTTTTTTGTGAACACCTGCAGAGGGTAAACTCTTTTTCTCTAGAGTCCAAAGATAAGAGAAAAAGTCTCTGATTTGTAATCAGAATCGATTTGCTGCTCTACCAGCCACAGCCCAAATATTGCCATAAATCTTTGCTGGAGGATTCCCAGGAGGAAGTTGCAAAGGGGAGTTCTTGCCATCTTGATGTTTTGGAAAGAGCCAGGGATGTGAACTTTCACATTGGCTGAAACTATCCTCGCATAGGTGTCACATTCTTTGTGGTGAATTTGGTTTCTTCTTCTTTGCCAGTAATTCTTCCTGTTGCCCTTGACAGGTGATCTCTCTTAGGGACTTCACATCTGTAATTTTAAAAGACTCTAAGAAGAGGTCCAACCTAATGAGGGCAAGGGTGCCCTCCCCCTGAAACCCCAAAATAAAGGCTTTCACAAAATCAGCTGCTTTTGTCAGAGCGCTAACATCCTTTCAGGTTCTTTGTAAGTTCTGATTTCTACATTCCTGGATTTCAAGTTAAAGTGTATCTGAAGTTCCAAATGTTCTACAATAGGAATAAATATTTTCAAGCAGTTCTCTCTTTTTTTTTAATTCCTTGCTGATGGATCTATTTTTTATTGATTGTTTTTATTTTATTTTATTTTTTTTTAAGAATTTTTGTGAGTTTATTTGAGCCAAACTGTCGACATATGCCGGGAAGCAGAACCTCAATGAATTGAGATAGTGCTCCTTATTGATTGTTTTTAGAGAGAGGAAGAGAGAGAGAGAGAGAGAGAGAGAGAATATGAAGGAGAGAGAAACATTTATTGGTTACCTTTAGTACATGCCCCAACTGGGGATTGGACCTGCAACCTAGGTTATGTGCCCTGATGAGGAATCAAACCCCAAACCCTTAGTTATATGAAGAATGCTCCAACCAAATGATGTCCAGGGCCAACCAGTTGTCTTTTAATGGTGTCAGTTGTCTGGGACTGAAATTTTCCTTGTTTCTTTTTTCCCATCCAGGAACCTGTGTCTTGAGAGGAGTGGGAAGACAGGCCCCTTTGAATGGGGCCTCCTCTGAGTTCATGCAGCCCACATCCACCCTCCTCCACTTGGAGAGCTTCTCAGCCTGCCCTTTCTTCAACCTCTGACTATCCTTGTGGGTGACCCAGGTGAAACCATCCGCAGCCCCAGCGCTCTGTGCCTCCATTTCGGTTGCCATCCCAAGAATCTCCAGTCCCCATGATCTGTTTTTTACATTTCTCTCTCAACATAACTCCTATTAAACACATGTCTGAGTCCTGGGGTGGATGTGGATGTGTTCAGCAAAGAAGAGATTTGAAGAATACTAAGTGAAAAGCTATTGGACTCAAGTCAGTGTAGGATATTGAGGTTCAAGCAGCCCTATTCTGAGATTCCTTCATAGAAGATCCAACCCTATTAATGCAACCAGGGTAGCTCTTGAATAAACTCATCAGCGATGACAGTCATTCATGAATCAATGTGAAGTACCTCCCAGAAGCTCCCAAGAGATTGTGGAGGCAACTGAAGGATAAAGGCTGGCGTGTTTTTACTGTTATCAATAAAATCCTATATAATAAATAGGTAATATGCAAATTGACCCTCACACCCTTGTGTCACAAGATGGCCACCCCCACACTGTCACAAGATGGCCAACAAGGGAGGGCAGTTGGGGGCAATCAGGCCGGCAGGGGAGCAGTTAGGCATCGATCAAGTCAGCAGGGGAGCGGTTAGGGGGTGATCAGGCTGGCAGGCAGGCAAGCGGTTGGGAGCCAGCAGTCCCAGATTGTGAAAGGGATGTCTGACTGTTATGTTCTTCATATAACAAAGAAATAAGAAGCCTGGAGGGCCACTGTTGGGGTCAAAAGTCCCTGCCCAGAACAGAAGAACACTGACTTCAAGGAGGCCTTTCTTCCCATCCACCTTTAGGAGGGGTGGCCACCTCTGGGCTCCTGACACAATTTAGGCACCTCCATGCAAGCAGCAGCACAGAGCCCCAGACAAAGCCACCCAAGGGTCAGGGTTCTGCATCCCTACCAACAGGATGTTCTGCATCCTGTCCCACAGGGATCGGGCCTAAACCGGCAGTCAGACATCCCTTGAGGGGTCCCAGATTGGAGAGGGTGCAGGCTGGGCTGAGGGACAACCTGCCCCCCCCAGTGCATGAATTTCATGCACCAGGCCTCTAGTGTAATTATAATAGTTTC